CCCCTTGTGCTGCGACAAAAGTCGCGACGGGAAGTTTTTCACTGTGTTCGGCCTCCGAGAGCCCTCCCTGGACCCTGGGAGCGCCAAAAAACGACTCGGGATGGAAACCGGTCCCAGAGAAGGGGGCGAGACCTCTGGGTGTCGACGTCATGAGAGAAAAAAAAAAAAAAAAAAAAAAAAAAAAAAAAAAAAAAAAAAAAAAAAAAAAAAAAAAAAAACACGTCGGGGGACTGGGGAGGAAGCACGGAGGAGGGGGGAGGAGGAGGAGGAGGAGGAGGAGGAGTGGAGTGGAGCAATCGGACGTAGTCCGTTCGGAACCCAGAGATGCCAGGGGGGCCATCCAGTTTTTCTCGGAGGGCCGTGGGGGGCGACATCCCACGGCCCACCGCGACAGGCCCCCCTGGCCTCACAATTTACTCGGAGGCAGCTCCCGCCGCGTAGGAACCGATCGCGGCTTCGGCTGCCGAAACGTGCAAAGCCTCTAGCACTGACTTGCTGGGACCCGATCTGGACGGGTGGAGGCCTCGCCTGATCCTGCTGAGGTTCTCGAGGCCTTTGCCAGTGGGTCCCAGGGCCCTGCGCTCTCCCACTTGGTGGGAGAGAGGGCACGGCAAAAGTAGGCTTTTAACCTGGTGCGCGGCCGTGTGGCCGCACTTAACACAGAAAAACAATTGCCACTTGGGGATGGTGGCCAAAGTGTGGGAGGGGTGGATCAACTTGCCACTGATCACGCGAGGACCCCTCGACCACAGCACCTCTCCACACGCAGCGAACTCGGGAAGGGGGCAAGGCGGCGCACACTCTGTGGCGGCAGCTGGAATAACGTGGCAAGCGTCAACGATGATGAGGCAAACAGGGCATCTCCATTTGTCTGCACAACGCTCGAATTTGTGCTGAGAAGCCGCGATCGCGGTCTGCAACTGAGAGCGCGGGGCAGCCTCCTGGGTGGATTGCCTCTCTGTCCACTGTCCTCGGGGCTCCGAATTCTTGCCTATAGAACGTAAAATCAGTCGTGCCCTCTGTCGGACGATGGCAGCAATAGCGTCGTATTCATCGGTCCTGGGGACGGGCGGGAGGGCAAGGGTGGCCGACTTGTGGGCCGCGCTTCCCGCGAGCTCGTCAGCATGCTGGTTGCCGAGAGCCAGATTTTTTTGGAAACCGCGCAACGTGAGGGGATCGGCGTGAGATGGGGTCCAGAGCACCGTGACAGAAGAGGAGCCGCCAGATCGATCTTGCACGAGGTGCCGAATTCTCAGCCAGAGATCCCCATTCATATTCTTGCCTCTGAGGCTGCCAGGTCTGAGACATCTGCCATTCTGCCAGCCGCGCTGCAGGGCTAGGTGATCCGTGACAAACGTGAAATCCTGCTGGCACGTCTCCAGTGCCAGGCAAAACGCGTGCAATTCGCCTCTAGGGGCGGTCTGGCGGGGGCCTGGGAGGGGGGCGAGGAGGCCCGCGTGGAGGGTCCAGGAGGCCGAGGGGGGGTCCCATCGGAGGGCCGCGAGGCCAGAACCAACACGGCGTCGCCTGACGTCGTCGGAAAAGGCGCCGCCAGACCCGTCGCCAAAAAGAAACAACTCGCCCTCGGCGCTACGAGCTCCTTCCCACGACGGCAGACCCTCCCGCACCGCACCAACAAACTCCCACCCGTCCCTTCCAGTCAAAGGCTCGAACGCGGGCGTAGTGAGCGCGACAGAGGGGATGCCACGGAGCCACAGGGCAGGGTCAGCATTGGCCCCTGCCACGGCTCGCGGTAGCAACTTGTCACTGGCCTCAAACTCAGGTCCCACATTCGCCTCGCACTGCCACATTCGGTGAAACAAGGTTTCAGGAACTCCTGCGCTGCATCGGTCGCAGTTCGTGTCGATCTGGTAGCCCGCGTTGTGGAGGCGGTCTCTGGTCCATTGTCCACCACTGATGACCGTGTTGTTGAGGGCCCAGTCGCTGAAATCACCATTTGCGAGGAGCCTCCTTTGTTCGATGCGGATGGTGACCATGTCCGCACCTCCAGCCAGTGTATCACCATGGTCATGCGTAGCGGCCTGAGTCCAGAGGAGCCTGTGCAAATCCTCGCTGAGGTCCTGCAATACTGTGTGGATGTCGGCGTCGAGGAGGTCGGGGTCATCGGCAAGGGGGAGGTTCCACTCCTCGATGTAGCCGTCCTTCGTGCGTCTCCACGTGGTAGCTGAGGTCGGCTCCCAGCTGGCCTCCAGCAGGGTCGCGATGGCCGCGCCAGTGGGCCCCTTGACCCTGCACCACAGCTTGGGGCCTGCTGCGAGCAAGGTGGTCTTGATCCTTGGCCATGCTCTGATGATCCTGGCGCGCGTGCTCGGGTGGCGTATCCAGTGCTGAAGACAAGCCTCGATGAATTCGATCCTTAGAGAAACTCCTGGGCCCATGCCGTCGAAGGTGGCACCGAGGAGGGAGGTGAGGCATCGGCCCGCTGCTGCTCCCGTGGCCGCAATGGCGGCCTGACGCCGCCATCGTAGTAGAGCGTGCCGAGCGAGGCCGTGCACCTGATGACCGAAAACTCCTTCGGGGAGAGCGCCAGTGCGCCACAGTCCTGCTGAGATTCGAGCCTGCTGTGCAGTGCTCCGTAGTCGGTGTATCTTGCGAAACCTAGCTGCGGCTGAGCTCTGTCGCTTCCTGGCTTTGGCTTGTACCCGTCGAGTAGCCGCAGCCGCGTCAACTCCGAGGTCGACGGCCGTGGCGGTCGCAGTAACTGGGATGTCGTACTGCCGCAACTTCTTGGCTAGCGATTTGCGGACCTTGGGGGTGGAGCCGATGAGGACCGTCTTGTCAGAGATAGGCAGCTCGAACTCCTTCAGACCGTCGCAAAGCGTCTTGGCGGCACGAGGGGGGTGCTTCTGCAGTGTGCGAAGGACTCCTTCGACTCGAAGGACGGTGTCGTCTACGAAGGTCCACATCTGGGCAAGCTCTGCCTGAACTTGGGCTTGCCGTGGAATAGGAAGTAATATGAGTCGTGCCAAGGTCGTGCCGTGCGGGGAGCCTGCGATGATGCCTTTGGAGGCGAAGATAGGCATACTCACCCACTGTCTACTGCGCAAGAATCTGGGCGCCAGGTAAAGCTGCACTTCCAGTAGTAGAATGATGGGGGGAAAGCCGCAGTTGAGGCCGACCATAATGAGGTTGGCGAGCTTGATATTGTCGTAGAACTTCTGGATGTCGAATAGCAATGTGGCGGACTGCATGCCAAGCGCTGAGGCTGTCTCGTCTAACAAGGCCCTATGTAGGGCGGCCTGGAGAGCTGAGGAACCTTTGATGGCTGTAGTCCAGAAGTCGTCCAGGCCTTGGGTCCAGGATGTAGATGCAGTCGATCTGATGCGAGACCAGAGTCTGGCCATGTGAGGTAGCATGCCGAGGACCCTGTCGCCTCCAGACTTCTTGGCTGCGAGGGCTGCAATAGTGCCTGAGATTTGTAGTGGTCAGATGCCTGCATGCTCAACTGCGTTGAGGATATCCGCATAGGCTTCGACTGCTGGTTGTGGTAGTCGATGGAGGTCGCGAGGTCCAAGGGCGTCAACTCCATGTGCTTTACTGGGTGGCATGCGGCCGTGAACGCGGTGTACGATCTCAGCTGTGATGGGCTCGAGTGGTTGGCGAGCGGCTGCTGCCTTGGCCTTTGACAGCGCCTGTAGGATGTCGTCGGGGGTCTCGGTGGCCTGCCATACTTGTTGCCATTGTTGCTTCTTGCTGTCCATGATAACGGTGGGGTCGGCGATGGTCTGGTTGGTCGTGTAGGCCTCGATGTGACGTACTGGCGCAGGCTTGACATGGGCGTGTAGTACTCCAGGGCGGTGTTTCCATTGCTTGGCGAGCCAAGCACCGTAAGCCCTCTTGGACTTAGCGAGGGCGGCGGAGAGCGCTCTGGAGGCCCAAGTAGCGGTAATAGTGGCCAAGTCGTCGGTGTCCTCGTTGTCCAAGTGCGGGGCCCAGACGAGTGCGAACCAGCGGAAAATGGTGTCCTCGTCATGCTCGAACTGGAGGTCGTGAAAGTGAGTGTTGAAGTGGTCCGCGCGCTGCTGGATGATGGAGGCCTGCTGCTGCATGAGCGCTGCGTGCTTGGGCTTGTCGTGGAGCGCAGCGTAGCGCTTGATGAGGGTGAGCGTGATTGCCCACCATTCCGACTGAGGGTCATGCACGTGTACGCGGCCTGGGGCGGCGGCCGTCTTTTTCCACGACAATTGGTAGCCTTGGGCTCGGCCTGTGAATGCTGCGGCTTCCTTGGGGTCGATGTGGTGGTGGCTGATCATGGTGTTCTCGAGCGCCGTGACCCATTTGGCGTACTTGAGGTTGAGGTCGTCGGCGTCGTGCACCCAGTGAGTGTACACGAAGTGCGCGTGAGGCTGCTTACACCGTGTGGGCACAGCTTGCTGCCATTGTTCCTCCCAGAGGTCGCTCGGGATAGCGCACGGGATAGGCTCCTGTGCTGCTGGCTCGTCTTGTGGCTGGAGTTGTGCTGCTGCTTGTTGGAGTTCAGGAGGTAGATCGCGTAGGCGTGCTGCTCGAGCTTCTGCTGTTTTACGTTTCTTGATGGCGGTCTTGCTGTTGGGGTCTGGTGGGATCCTAGGTCTGTCCACTACGGGGAATGCCCTAGGGGTATGGATCGACTGATACCACCAGGGGTCTGCGCTGCCTGCTCGAACTTCAAGGCCCGCGTGGGTGGCCCAGGGGACGGTGGGGCACTGGCGAATGGAGAACGTGTGCTCGATGCCAGTCTTGACCAATGCGAAGTCGAGCGTGAGTCCCTGGCCCTTGTCGCATGTGGCGGATCCAGGCGCACGCACGACGGTAGCATTCCATTTGGCGGGCCACTCTGTTGCTGCGAGCTGCTCAGGTGTCATGTTCCAACCGGGCAGGATGATCCACGGGTCAGTGAGCATAGTAACGAAGGCTCCCAGCGAGAGTAGCTTATCGTGCACTGCACCCTCGATCTGCCTGCGGTGTTCCAGATACGCTGCAATAACAACCAGGTTGCCCGAGCGCCTGTGCCATACCATGGGCGTGAAGCCGCGGAACGGGTCGGGCCTGCGCTGGGAGATGGCGAGGTCGCGGAGGTGGTTGAAGGTTGTGGCCTGGACGTGGTACCTGGAGAGGATAATCTCGCCACCCGTGTTGCCTCCGTCGGATCTGCTGGTCGGCGTGGCTGTAGTCGATGATATCCTCCATCCATCCGCTGCTAGCTTGTCGTATATGAAAGGGGCTTTACCATGCGAGATGTGTGCTTCAACCAATGCCACCATCTGATATTGTTTGCCTGGCCCTGCCAGCCATTTCTCCGACTGTGGCCCCCACTGAGTAATGTTGGAGAAGAACAGGGAGTGATCTGACGGCGTGGGATTCGTAGGGCCTTCGTCTTGGTAGGTGGGTCTGGGGTCGGGTCTCGGGCTGCTGGGCTTCCAGGGGCCTCTCGTAGCGGTCAAATCGATATCTTTCGCCATCTCATCGCCCCCTACCAAGGACTGCGTCTTGGGCGGGGCGGCATCAGGGTGTGCCGTTGGCAACGGCTCCCCTGGGACCTGTACCATGTGCCTGTCGACAGCTTGGGCCGTCTCATCGCTCCCTACCGAGGACAGCGTCTCGGGCGGAGCGGCATCAGGGTCGGCTCGCGCAGCACGCTGCGGCTGCCCTGGGCCCCATGTCACTGTGTCGACGGCCTGTGCCGCCTCATCGCCCCCAACCGAGGACAGCGTCTCGGGCGGGGCGGTAACGTACTGCGCTGTGGCTGCGAGGACGATGTGGGCGTCCAAATCGGCCAGCTCGTCGAACGGGTCGAGGACTGCGTCCATTGTGTTGATGATCGGTGGGTTGTCGTAGCTCTTGGTCTCTGACGGTGGGCGTCCCGTCTCGCCAATCCGTCCAGGGTCGGGTAGTAGTCGGCTAAAGAGGCTGCTGGGCTCCAGCCACGGCGGTCGCGGTGGGCTTGCGCATCTGGCTGAGCATCTTCTGCGCCTTGTCCTCGAGGTCGGGGTCCTTGTTGATCGCTGGTACAGGCTGTGCGGCGGAGCTGCCGTCAGAAGTAGCGCCAGCAGCAGGTGCGGGAGGCGCATCGCTTGGCGCCGCTGGCGAAGAGGCCGCAGAGCCATCAGCGTCCGCTGCGGCTGCCGCTGGGGGTTCGCCTGCTGCCGCCGAGGCGGCGGGCGGTGGTCCACCTCCCTCTCGGGCGTGACCGTCCTCGTCGGACCGCTGCCGCTTGGAGGCGAAGCGCGTGCGCATGGTGCTGGCCTCTGCGCGGAGCTGGCTGATGCGGCTGGCGGTGTTGCCGAAGAGCTCGGTGACCTTGGCCTTGAGCTCCGTGGCGAAGCGCTGCTGGAGGGATTCCCATGCCTGGCGGTCGCTGTCGTCGATGTCAAGGCCTTGTAGATCGAACGCCGAACCCGCTTCGATGGATATGTCGCCGTCCTCGAGGAGGCTGGCGAGGTTGAACGTTGGGTTCTGCTGCGAGGCCTTGGGAGTAGCCGTGCCGCCCTTGCGAGCGACTTGGAGTGCATCGGGAGCGGCTTGGGCCTCGGCCTGGGCTTCTGCCAACTTGTAGGCGGCCTCCTCCGACGCCGCCTTGCGCTCAGTGTACCAGCTGAGCACCTTTTGCTCGCTCTCGAGTAGCCTCTCCAGGTTGTTCTTGCAGCGGCGCTCCGTAGCCTGGGCGCGGCTGTAGATGTCGTTGAGGTCGGCTGGCTTCTGCGGCAGGGGCGGCGGGATCTGCGACTTGATACCGTGGATGGTTGCCTTGTCGATGTGGGGGGCGATCGCCTGGAGCTCCGCAAGGATATCCTCTGCGGAGCGCGCCTTGGGTGTGTCGTTCTTGTTGGCCCACCAGTCGTCCTCTTGGTTCTTGCCACTGCCATTGCCGTTGCCGCGGCGGCGGCGGGACTTGGGCCATGACGCCCACGGTTCCCATCCACCGTCAGGGCTGGGCTGCTGGTTGGAGCTGGAGTCGGCCTGGGCTGCGGCCTTGGCACGGGCCGCCCAGGCACCTTGAACTGGAGGCGGGGAATCTGTCCACGGCGCCAAGGCTTTGCTGCACCAGTAGCACGTCTGGTTGGTCTTGAAGTTCCAGGCGTACGAGCAGGAGTAGCACTTGACGTAGGCGCTGCGCTGCTGCGGAGGCGCCATGGACGAGCTGAGGAACAAAGGAAGCTCACCTGCGGGCTGCAGGAGGCACACGGAGGGTTGAACAAAGCTGTCGGGCTCAAGAGCCCTGGCACTGGCCGCGGACTAGCGGTATCCACTTGTTCCACTGTGGAACTAGGCATCTTGAGCCAAAATGGCTACGGAGGAGGAGGAGGAGGAGGAGGAGGAGGTGGAGGAGGACGAGGAGGAGGAGGAGGACGAAGGATGAGGAGGAGCAGGAGGATAGGGCGACGAACTCTATGCATATCCCATGCTCCCTGGCCAGGTCCATTCTGAAGCCAGCAGCGGTGTACAAGCCACGCCCTCCGGGCTTGGCCAGGAGGGCGTAGAAGGGCGTATACACTGCTCCTGGGTACAGGAAGGCCCTGGCCAGGGGGCAGTGGATATGTATAGGCTTAAGAGGAGGACGAAGGAGGACGACGGACGAAGGAGGAGGGACAGGAGAAGGACGGAGGAGGAAGAGGAGGAGCAAGAGGAGAAGGACGAAGGAGGGGGGGAGGAGGAGGAAGAGGAGGAGGAGGAGGAGGAGGAATAGGAAGAGGAAGACGAGGAGGAACAGGAAACGGCATCAACATAAACTTTCGGAGGCGCGCGCGGATTTCTTGCACCGTCGGCTGCTGCACCTAAGAGTCACCCAGCGGGGGGGGGGGGGGGGCAAACCCAAGCGCGCAGGCCGCTGCTATCGTATCGCAGTCAGCTATCGGGGGGCCGCAGTAGGCCCGCACCAAAGGTCACTCGGGCGAAGGGTCACTCTTACGTGTAGTATGATTGGCGCCTAGGCCCCCCTGGCGACGCCTCCGGCGCCGCAAGAGGCGCGCTCCGCGCTCAAGGCAGGGGGATCCAGCGACGATCCAAGAAATCCTCGCGGACCACCGAAATTGAACGTCGGTGCTTCTTCCTTCTTCGACTCGCGGGGCTTGGCCGCCAGCGGGGGGTCACACGTTGGGCGCGGACACGGGTAAACCCTGAGATCCCTGCGTCGCACTCTTTTCTGCGACTGAAATGTGTGCCTTAAGGTGGAGGCTAGTTCACAAAAAACCTTCCACAAGAAACCCGAGCCCTGAGACCCCAGGACTTCCATTGGTTTTTGGTGTGTAAGCGTCGCCTTCTGTAGCAAAATCATCGAAATCCAAGAACACCCTGGCACCCTGGAGGCAAGCAGGGTGTTTCTTGGCATGGGCCCCCACCGTATTTCGGGCGCTGGAACCCTCCCGGATCGATCCGGCTCCAGAAACGGCGCAGGACGATGGGATCCAGCGCTCCTGTCGTGATGTCTGCGAGATTACCGTTTTATCCGCACGGTGGATATCCGGGCCAGTGGGAGGTCAGAAGTTGCACGCGGGCACCCTCGAAGTGAGCCCCCAAAAGGGGTCTACATACTGCGGGCAATGTCTTTATCCACATCCAGTGCGTCTCGGAGCCTCGGACTCTCTTCCCAAGAAACATGAGGCGCACTGGATATGGATTATAATCTGACTCCAAAAGGCCTATTTGGGTCCATATCCAGTGCGCCTCGGCCTCGCGGCGCCCCTTCCAAGAAAGTCCAAGACGCACTGGATATGGATATAAATATTGCCCGCACACACAGCAGGTCCGTGTCGTGACGGCGTCGGCGCCAGAGTCTGCCGTCGCCCGGATCGCTCCACCCTGGAGCGGTCGCGGCCCTCCGAAAGTTGGCGGCGCGGCGCGCACACAGGGGGTCGGGTGAGGGGGGAGGAGTCGCTGCTGCTCAGAAGGCGCGGGCCTCCTCGGCAGATGCAGGGCCACGGACTTCTCACAAGCAGCCTTCCTCCAAGAAGCATTCCCCGTCCCCCTTACAGTGGAGGCCAGTCCTCGAGAAGCCTTCCACAAGAAACACGACCCTGAGACCCCAGGATGCCCATTGGTTTTCGGCGTGGGAGCGACACGCTTCCCACCGCAAAACCATCGAAACCCAAGAAACACGGGGGCCCCCCGGAGGCAAGCAGGGTGTTTCTCGGCATGGGCCCCCACTGTACGTCGCTCAGGTGGATCGTGAACGTTTTCTTGTTCGGCGTTTTGACACTGGGCGAAAGGGAGGAGAGACGTGGGGGGTCTGGCTCCAGACCTTTGCTCCGTGCGGCTGTGAGGAACCATGCGCTCTGGGGGAGACCCCACATGCTCGAAACAGGCGCCACGAGAAAGCCAGGATTTGGTCGGGCATGTCGGCCAGGATTAGCCCCTGGAGGCAAGCGGGGTGTTTCTCGGCACGGGCCTCCACTGCACCCCCGTGCGCGCGCCGCCAGGCTTTGCCCGTGCCCCTGCTGCTGCCTCCCACCACGGCCGTGGGCCGGACCTGGCGGCGCGCACACAGGGGACAGGGGGAGGGGGGAAGGCTTCTCGGGAGGAGGCCGCTTCTTAGAGGGCGCCGGCCTCCCACATCCAGAGTGAAGGGGCCCAGGGACACACTGATAAATGCACAAACAAAAGGATCCCCCTTTTTTCCTACATTTTCTGGGTTTGTGCCTTCCCCCCCACTTCCCATATTTTCATGGGGAGTCGACGATTCATTGTGTCTGTGTGTTGTTTTCCTTCCTGACAGAGGCGGGGCCCGCGCCTTGCAAGAAGCAGCCTCCGCGCGCACAGGGGGCCCAGGGGGAAGGGGGAGGTTTCTTAGAAGGAGGCTGCTCCACGGGGCGCGCGGGCCGTCTCCGTCGATGCAGGGGGCCCGCGCCGTGTAAGGAGCGGCCTCCTTCCAGGAAACCTCCCCCCTTCCCTCTGCCCCCGTGGGCGCGTGGCCGAATCCGCCGATGCGGCGTGCGAGTTTCAGAGACCCTCGGATATAGCCTGAGCCTCAGTTCTTGAGCTTCGGTTTTGCTGGGAGGTGGGTGCCGGGGTGGCTCTGCGGGGGTAGGAAGGGGGAGGGTCCGAGCAAATTTTGCACTTCGGGTCGGCCCCTCGCCCTGGAGAGCTCGAACGCGGGCTCATAAAAAAAACCAAAAAACAAAAAAAAAAAAAAAAAAAAAAAAAAAAAAAAAAAAGGCCGCCCAGACGGCCCAAGAGGGCCCTGAGTGGCCGAAACATCGCTCCAAGACGCTCAATATGTTCCTCAGACGGCTCCAGAAGCCTCCAACGTACCCTCCCGACACCTCCCAAGAGTGCCCAAAGACGGAAAACCTGTCCCATTCCCTTACGAAAACGTACATGTTTTGCATTTTCGCTTCTTCGGCCTTCACAGTGTCCAACACGGCCCAATAGACCCCCAAAACAAGCCCAGAGGCTCTCAAGAGGGCCCCAAATCGGCCCAAGAAGGGCCCAAGACGGCCAGGGAGGCCCCGGAGACAGCCCAAGCGGGCCCCAGGACGGCCCCAAGAAGCAGGCCCCCAGGGCGTGGCAGGCGTAGCATTTCCTGGGCGCCACAGGGGGTGCGCGGGGGGGGGGGCCTATGCGCTGCAGGCTCCCAGGGCGTGGCAGGCGTGGCATTTCGTCGACGCCACAGGGGGTGCGCTGGGGGTGGGGGCCCTATGCGTCGCAGGCTCCCAGGGCATGGCAGGCGTGGCATTTCCTCGACGCCGCAGGGGGTGCGCTGGGGGTGGGGGCCCTATGCGTCGCAGGTTCCCAGGGCGTGGCAGGCGTGGCATTTCCTCGCCGCCACAGGGGGTGCGCTGGGGGTGGCGGCCCTATGCGCTGCAGGCTCCCAGGGCGTGGCAGGCGTAGCATTTCCTCGACGCCACAGGGGGTGCGCTGGGGGTGGGAACTTGGGTCTTGTCAAGATCTGTGAACACCTTGGCTCAAGCCGGCTCGGCGCGCCTGCGCTGTCACGCAGGCGCGCTCCTGTAGTCCTACTTCAGAGCACCGCCCGACCTGCGCGCGGCAGCCATGCCCTCCAAAATCGCCGTGGATGCGCTGCCACCTCCATGTTTGGCGATGAAGACTGCGATGGTTCAGATGGGCGGCGAGGGTCTGCGAACACACGCGACTTAAACTAGGTATGTGGGGTTCCTCGGTAGCGTAATTTGACTATTTTGGTGGTATTTCTTATTTGTCGTCGAAAATCCCCCTGTGGGGGGACAGGCCCGACTTCAGGCTCGGGTCCGGGTGCCCGCCGCCCCCCCGAAGCCTGACAGCCCAGCGGACGGCTCCCCGAGCCCTGGCTCGGCCGCGTGCGCGGGGAACTCTTCTGGCGGCAGCCTCCTGCTCGAGGCGGGGCTGCTGGGCCTGTCGTCCACCACCACCACCAGGAGTTGGATGGGGGGAAGGAGGAGGAGGACGAGGAGGGGGAGGGCGTAGAGGAGGAGGAGGAGGACGTAGAGGAGGAGGAGGAGGAGCAGGAGGAGGTGGAGCAGGAGGAGGAGGAGGAGGAGGAGGAGGACCTCCTCCCCCTCCAACTTATGGTGGTGGTGGTGGAAAACATGCCCATCAAGGGCGCCGACGTGGGGGGGGGGGGGGAGCGAGGCGGTGCCAGTGGCACGCCGCCGCGGGGAGCCCATCGGCGTGCCCCTGCGGGAGTGGCACCAGGTCCTTCCGGCAGGGAGCGCAGGGCAACGCTCGCGGACCGGCTCCCAGCGGCGGCGTGCGATCGGTGCTCCTCCCCCCGGGGCAGGGGGAAGAGAGAGGCGTCGACGACGCAGGCCCGAAGAAAATCATGGTCCCCGGATCGAGCCGCATCGCCAATGCACGGGCGACGCGGCGCGATCGTCCGACGTCATCTGCCAGCACCCTGCTGGGGAGGCCTGGATGAGGAAAGTGTGGGCAGCTGCTCTTCCTCCCCCTCCTCTCCCTTCTGCTCTTCCTCCCCCTCGTTCAGCCTCCTCCCCCGCTATTTTCGCAGCCACGCTCCCTCGCTCGTGTGGGCAGCCTGGTGACATTGGAACGTGTCATCACAGCCATCGGGCCACCATGAGGCACGCTAGTTGAGGAACCAGGGGGCTCTTCTGGCCACGGCGAGCATCGGTCTAGAACGAGCTCCCCGACCCAAACCTGAGGAGGAAGGGCCCGAAAAGCAGAGCCCCTCCTGGGGCTCAACGGGGTCCTTGTGTTAGCGTCTTGTCTGTGTCGAGACTGTACCTTGATTCCGCTTACTGGAACGTGCCGTGACCAAGGTCCCGGCCCGAGGCATGTGCGCGGACGATGGGGACCACGGGACGTGTTCAGACGAAGACAGAACTGCACAAACATAAACTATCGGCTGTCCGCGCGAAGCTCCGAAAGTGTATGTATGTTTGCGGCTGAAGTGCACCACACAGCGTGCACCTGCGACATCTCGTGGTACACGCTATGCGGCGTTACACTTGGCGTGTGCCCAGGGTCAGCGTGCTTCACCTTGGGCAACGGGAAGTTAAAAAGGTACACATTAATGTACCCTTAGGTCGGGCATGTCCCCCTATACAGGCGGGTGTTGGACGAAAAATCAAACATACTCCAAACAGATTCCAAATGTATTCGAAAATAGTCACACAAAAAAAGCGTCCCCATAATATTATACCTTGACTATGTTTGAACATACCTCCTGTAGAGGGACAGGCCCGACGTAAATGCCCCCCCTTCCACCCTCCCTGCACCTCCTCAAGGGGGCCCTCACACACGTAAGCGTGTACCTGGGACGGGCGCTTGGTGCGTACCTCACAGTATGCGCTAAGAGTTGTTTCACTTTGGAAGGGCTCCGGAGGTACACGCTATGTGTTACACCTCAAACGTATGCCGTTCTTCGTCCCTCGAATCACAGTCCTCACTCATCTCCTGGACGCTCCCGACAGTATCGTAACGTCTTCCTCATGTGATCCTCACACTCCCCGCAGCTTTCGGGCCATAACTCGGGCCTGTGGCGGCCATTCGCGACGACCCAGGCACCCCCCAGAACGCCCTCGACGAGGCGTAGCCGATGGAATGCATCCCGAGGCAAGGAAAGCCCCGAGAATCCGCACAACAATCAACAAAACTATCACTGAACATTGGGGACCAGTCTCGACACATTCCCTGGGACTGGCTTTTCGTCCTGAGCTGTTTTTGGTGGCCCCAGGGTCCGGTACGGGCCCCCAGAGGCCGAACATAGAAGTAACAACAAAAACTGAACATCAAAAGCGTCCGTCGCGATTTCGCCACATGCGACATCATGATCCTCACCCCCCTCTGGGATGACCCCGACATTATCTCGACTTCTTCCTCCCCATGTAAGCGATCAACATGCTGTCCCGGGCCCCTGCTGACGCCTCAGTCCCACGAGCGGCCAGAGAGGGGACATATACAAAAATCCAGCCCCTGAAAGCTGGATTCTTGATACGCGCCCTGTCCCGTGGCATCCATAGTGGAAGGCAGCAAGAGGGGTTTGACGTCGTCCACGCGCAAGAGTGACGACCGTAGTCAGGAGCGGCCTTTGGTGCGCGGCTCTGGGGGGGCGCGCGGGGGCCCACGCCAAGCGCGCCAGCCGCTGCTATCGCATCTCGTTTGGCGATCGGCGGGGGCTCCAGTGGGCCCGCAGCAAAGGCCACTCCAGCGAAGGGTCGCTCTTACGTTTAGTCCATGGACACGGTCGGGAGCTTTTGCTTGGCGTGTCACGGCGGCGGCCCTGGCGACACGCTATCCCTTGCAAGCTGATCGACTACCTACCAGGCCACGGGAAACCAACGGCCGAAGTCGCTGACCGTAGTTGGAGACAGCAGCACGGGCATGGACAAAACGCCGATCGCCGAGCCTGTGATCCTCAAACTCCGCGCGGGGCCGCTGCCGACGCCCGATCCGTGCGCGGCCAGCTCCCTCCTCAGCATGCCCGCCGCCCTCCTGTCCAGCAGGCTGTCCGTCTTCTGCCGGTCCGCCGTGCCGCCCAGCAGCCAAGGGTCGTCGTCCTCGCTTGCAGCCGGCATGTGCACTGGTTGGCGGTGCGCACAAGGGGCTGGAAGGAGGGGGGAGGGCTTCTTATAAGGAGGCTGCTTGTTAAGAAGGCGCCGGCCTTACATCTATAGATGAGTCCCGCGCCTTCTAAGAAGCAGGGCTGTTTCTGAGAGGCCTCCCTCCTCCCCCCACCCCCTCTGCGCGTGGCTGAAGTGGGGTGGCCCAGCGCTGGCTCAGGTCAACAGCAGAAAACAAAGCGGGAGATGTTTGACAGGCCTCGGCTTACATCCGGCAGTAGCGACTACAGGCGGACCACCGCCATATCGCGCGAAGAAACTCAAACTCAAAAAAACATCGAACAAACTCTGAACCAAAACCTGCAAAAGTCTCAAACCCCAAAAAAACTCACCAACAAACACTCTAAGCCCAAACCTGCGAAAATCTCAAACCGAACAACAACTTCAACAAATATCTGAGCCAAAACCTGGAAATGTTCAACTCCAAAAAAAACTCTGGCACAAATATCTAAACCAAAACCTGGGAAAACTCGAACCAAACAAAGACTTGGAACTGAAACTCTAAAAACTATTGAACCAAACTCTAACAATAACGCTTACAACGATAATGTGTTTTAACAGAACTCTAAAACGATATTAACGCCTAAAGTTCTATGAACAAACTCTGAAAACGTCAAAAAAACTCTATATCCATATATCTAGCCGCCTGACAAACTCTAAACGTGGGCAAAACATTGAAGCAACTCTAAATGCAAACCCCAGCGGCCTCGGAAACTTGAAAACACTTTAGAGCAACATCTAAAACAATCCGACAGTTTTTTGTTGTGTTTCAAGCGCGCATATGTTGTTGTTCGATGTCTCTGCTTCAGGTTGTTCTGGAGCTTCGGTTTCAAGTTTTTTGGGGGGGTCCCAGGTTTTGGCTTAGAGATTGTTTGAAGTCTTTTAGGGGTTGAGACTTTCCCAGGTTTTGCTTCAGATATGTCTTCAAATGTCTGTTTGGGATTGAGTTTCCTGGTGAAGATTTCCAGAAGAGTCTGGCGGGTTTTCTCGGTGGACCTACTGTAGAATACTTGCCGAACCTAGCCTCGGCCTCCCGGGGCCCTCACGAGGGCCCCAGGGCCGTCAAGAAGCAGCCCGGGAGGAGCCAAGCTTGTGCAGGGGAAGGTGTCCAGACCTCTGGGATGAGGAGGAGGAGGAGGAGGAGGAGGAGGAGGAGGAGGAGGGAGGAGGGAAGACGACATAGAGGAGGAGGAGGAGGAGGAGGAGGAGGAGGAGGAGGAGGGAAGACGATTAGAGGAGGAGGAGGAGGAGGAGGAGGTGAAAACATCATGACGTCGGAGGACTGGGTAGACTGAGGTTGGAACCTGCTCGGGGACCCGGGTGGCCAGCCACCGGGTCCGGCCAGCAGGAAGGGGGGAGGAAGGGCCCCCCTCGCCGCCGCGGCTGGACGCGGCTCGAAACGCCCGTCGGTCTCGACCCTGGGAGGGCTCCGGGGGCCGATTCTGGCAGAATTTGCCTGCGCCCCTCTCCTCTTGACCGTGAGACTCTGGACTTACAGGGCAGTTTTCAATACACAGGGTTGTCAAAAATATGGGATTTGTAGTACATGATCAATGTATGAATAAATGTATGCATGCACTCATCGTTGTTTTTAATACTAAATCCCTGCATTTTTAATACATGATCCGCACGCGGAGCATGTCTTAAAAACGGCACTGCATCCAGTGCGGACCCGTGCAACAAAAACTACCCAGGACAAAGAGCTGGCCCTGAGAGATGGGTCGGGACTTCAAGGGATCCCGTACAACAAAAAAACAGTAAATCGGACGTGTCCTCCTGCTCCTGCTCTTCCTGCTCCTCCTCAGCCTCCTCCTCCTCATCCTAGTCCTACATCGGGGGCCGTGTCCGCGATGTTCATGTCGCTCAAGCGTTTTGGGTGGAGCATGTCCGACTATACGTGCTCGGTTGACGAGTTCGGGAACCAAGGTTCGTGCACTATTTTGGCGCTACCGCTGCGGTTGTGCTGCTTGCACGTTCTATTCCAGGACTACTTGGGGTCAGGGGGCGAAGGCACTAAAGTGTCACAGTCTCGCCAAGTTTCCGGTGGTTGTTCCTAAGCTTGCCGATGCGCCGTGCAGGCGCCTGGCTCACCTGACCTGTAATCAGGAAGCTTCTACAGAAGGCAGTTCTGAGGACTCTGGAAAGGCAGGCTTTCGAGAGGCTCCTGGACTGCGACCTGTTCGTGGGCATGGGCACACCTACTACTCACGCTGACCCAATTAGGTGAGCGCGCCGCGCCCACACCTTTCGCTCGACCAGCTACGATCTCCGTGGAATCAGAGAGGTCATGGAGCTGGAAGCTTCAACACCACCATCGCAGTGACACTCCCTGGGCATCCACCAGCAGAGGAGACAGGAGGAGGTGAGCAGACTTCTCTGAAAGAGGGTACCCCAGGCTATGCTCTGATCTGATACAGCAATCGCTCACATCCTCCTAAATCACCCACTTTGAGACGGGATGCATCCGATCTCTGTGCTGCAACGCGATCTGGACACAGGTCAGGGCGCTGGCCGAGGAATATCAAGTTTCGTGTCTCTGTGCCAAATGAGGTCTGCACCCAGGCACCCTCTTTCACAGGTTGTGGGTCTGCAGTGCCACTGAGGATAAAAGGCAGAGGTTCTGGAGGCCCTCGAGCAGAACTCGCCTGATCTCATCGCGTACCTCATAGGTGCGTTCCCTCACCCAGGCGACCTCGTGCCTAGGCCCGACCCAGGACGGGATGCAAGGTGTGATCTTCGAGGACTTCAGAGGTTTAGGTGCTGGCAGCGAGGTGTTGGGCAGTCTAGGGGGCCTCCTCGGGACACAGGTTCCTGGATGACACTTTCTGGGAGAGGGCGTTGAAAGACTGAAGTATGTCTAGATGGGGACGTACGGGCCCCCTTGGGGCAACATGCCCCAGTCCCCACAGGCCGGCGAATACAATGCTGTTGCTGCTGCTGCTGGTAAAATATGGACGGGGAGGCCCACTTCCTTTCAGATTCCGCCAATATCGTTTCCGCAACTCCGAGGACTCCTGTCGATCGGGGGTCTCGGGCCATAGGGCCTACGCTGGTTCGGTCCCTGATGGTTTCTCGCGTCGGGAACATCTAAAGGATGTGCAAAGTGGACGATCAGAATAAGACCGACGAGGACGGTGACTCACCCGAAGAGGCATACCGTGACATCTGCAGTGGCTTTACCGATCGAGCTGCCCAGAGAGGAGCCCTGCAACAACCAGAGCCCGACCCCCAAGCTAGAGAAAAGGATCTCTGCACACATTACATGTATACATAGATGTATGCATATGCATACGTATATATATATATATACACATGTGTATACAGATCTGCATTGATATCTATGTGTATAGATAAGATTACGCATGCTGCTGCCAGGCTGGCTGCAAGGGTCCTTTGTGGCCCAAGTGCGACCCGCCTGGAGTTGATGATTGCAAACCCGAAACCTCTCTGAAGACGGGGGGGTCAGGGCACTCCTGGGGTGTGGGTCTCGACTTGTTGGCAGCCTGAGTTCGTTTGCGAGGGAAGAGGGGGTCAGAGCCGCCCCCTCCAGGCACGTGCCCCCGCCGAGGGAAGAGGGGGTCAGGTGCCTCCTCGCTTGACTCCAAAGATGCGTTTGATCAACAGCCATCGCTGTGCACGTGTTGTTGCTTCGATGTTTCGTTGCCCTGTCTTTGCTTGAGCTGCCACAGCTACAGCTCGAGTGGCAAGGTTGTCAGGCTCGCCCCCACGTGTCCAGGTAACGAGGAGGCTGGAGCTGGGAGGACTGCGTGGAAGTATGTGTGCTGCGACAGGCACCCCTTTGCAGAACAAGAGGGGAATGCAAGGTACTTGCCCATAGCCCAGGTCATCTCGATTGAAGGCATGTAGCCGTGGAGGTTAAACACAGCATCGTCATCAGCATCATCAACAGCATCAGCATCAGCAGCAACATCATCATCATCATCATCATCATCATCATCAGCATGATCATCATCATCATCATCATCAGCATCATCATCATCAGCATCATCATCATCATCAGCATCATCATCAGCATCATCATCAGCATCATCATCATCAGCATCATCAGCATCATCATCATCATCATCATCATCATCATCATCATCATCATCATCACCCTCCGCACCTCGTCCTCCTCCTCCTCCGCCTCCTCCTCCTCGTCCTCCTCCTCGTCCACCCCCGTCCCCCTCCCCACCCATGTTCCTCAACCTCCTGCTCCGCTTCCTCTGCCCCCCCCCACCCATCCTCCAACTTCCTCTACCGCCACCTTTTTCCTCCTGCTCCGCTTCATCTGCCTCCTACTCCTCCTCTTTCTCCTCTCCTCCTCCTCCTCCTCCTCCTCCTCCTCGTCCCCCTCCTCCCCCCTCCTCCTCCTCCTCCCCTCCTCCTCCTCCTCTCCTCCTCCTCCTCCTCCTCCTCCTCCTCCTCCCGCTTCCGCGTCCCCCTCCGCCTTCGCCACCGCCTCAGCCTCCGCCTCTCCTCCTCCTCCTCCTCCTCCTCCGTCTCCGCCTCCGCCTCCGCCTCCGCCTCCTCCTCCTCCTCCTCCTCCTCCTCCCCATCCCGAGCCTCCTCCCCCCTGCAGCCTCTGTTTCAAACTCGAGGAACGTGTTCTTGACCACGGCGCACGGGAACCTGCTCGGCGTGGTCCTCGAGCCCGAGCCAGGGTAGCGCCCGTCCGCCAGCCCCGGCGCATGCTGGCGAGGGAGCATGCGCGGATCGAGTAGGGACTCACGAGGGGACCCCTCGCATAGACAGAGGACGAAAAAACTGCGCAAGCATGAGCGTTGGGAGCTCCACGCGGAGTTCTTGGATCTGCACTCAGGCCCCCTCGGCGGCGCCCCAGGCGCTGCCCCCTCCGCGCGCCAGGGAGGGGGGTGTCCAGCGACGGTCAAAGAAATCCGCGCGGGGCCTTCGAATGTTCGTGTGAGCGCCGTTGTTTCTGCTTCGAATGCGTCTTGCACGTTCACAGACCCTGTGCCCATCCAAGGCTCGCGCCAAAACAGCCATGGGGAGAGGGAGCAGCAACGGCAGGGGGGCGTACAGGGTGGAGGAGGGAGGGGGTGGAGCAACATCAGCAAAATGATAAGCAGGAGGACGACGACTACGGTCGGACCGCGGCACAAGATCGAGGCCGGTTCGGGGAGGGTATCCTGATGTTCTTCATGCTTGTTGGATGTTTTTGTGAATCCTGGGCGAGGGTAGCCTCGAATGTTCTTCAATAATTTGGCCAGCGAGGGTCTCATGTGTTTGAAGGATGGTGGCGTGTCCCAGGTTTGGCCGTACGAAGACGAGGCACGGGAGAAAGAATGGAGCAGAGACAAGAGTAAGGCAGGCGGAAAAATGGAACGCCGCCAGGGGGGTCCAGCGCCGACCTAAGAAATCCGTACGGACCGTCAAAAGACTATCTGAAATTCGTTTCCAACCCTCCTGTGTTGGGCACTCGTTTCGAATAGAGCACTGTCTGACCCCACCTTCTCCCTCTCCTCCTCCTCCTCCTCCTCCTCCTCCCTCCTCCTCCTCCTCCTCCTCCTCCTCCTCCTCCTCCTCCTCCTCCTCCTCCTCCTCTCTCCTCCATCCTCCTCCTCCTCCTCCCCCTCCTCCTCCCTTCTCCTCCGCCGCCTCCTCCTCGTCCTTCTGCGCTCGAGCAGCGCTGCAGGGACGTGCTTCAGACGCGCACGCGCCCTCAGCGAGCCAGTCGATTGCCAGGATACTCCAGATTTCGTAATGAAAGGGAGGGGGTCTGGACCCTCCAAGACAAGCCATTTCAGACCTCCCCCGTGGGAGAACCCTCCAAAACATCGTCCCCAGACCCCCCAGGCCCTCCAAGATAGCCTGGAAGAGACCCCCCGAAATGAGACCCCCCTCCCTTTATTACGATATCTGGAGTACCTCCTCGCTCGCACCCCGAAGTGCTGCCACGGCGCCCGCCTCGGCCCCGCGCCCCGCCTCCCGTCCAGGCAGGCGCGGGCAGTGCCGACCGGCCGTGGTGTGGGAGCAGCCGCGGCGCCCCGGGTAGCTGGACGGAGTGGGACGACCACGGCAGCCGTCCTACAGTCGGGGCGTCGACCTAATAGGGGGAAAGCAAACCTACCTCGCTTTTGACCACCCTCGCTTCCAAGAGATACCAAACGATGCCCAACTACGGCCTGTACTGGTCAGGCCGCTTGACGAGGAGGCGCGTGGTATGACTTGGTTTCGCCTGGAAGCGAAAGCGGGGTAGGTAATTCATGCTCTGACCCAAGGAACCCGAAATAATGAAAGAGGCCCCTGTTTTCCATACGTTTAGCTTCGGTGCCACATCGAAAACCTACGGAAAAACCGAAGGCAAGCTGCGAAACGATCAAGGAACACGGAGCCCCTCCCCAACGAAAAGGGTTCCTTCTTCACGGCCCCGACTGTACTTGGACTTGCGCTTCGTGTGGCTGCAGGAAGAACAAGCAAGGGTGGTTTCAGTGACAAAACATTGTTGGCCCTGGAGGGCGATGCCGCGGATGGGTCAGTCCTGGCGCCACGGCCGCACGGTGCCTGGGGCGGCGGGGCTTCGGGCACAGCGCCGCCCGGCAGCTGGGTTCCTGCGGCAGGCGCCTCTCAGGCTCATCAGCTACCTCGTCGTCCTGACCCTCAGTTCATGGCTGGTGGGGGCGCCTCCAAGCCAACGGCTTCCCAGCTCAGCGACCTGGACCAGCTGCGCAGACTCGTCGACGGCTTGCGCGGCATGGGCGACTCCGCGGCTGCGGACAAGTGGTAGAAGGAACCCGACAGCCGTCTGCAGCGCCAGGCCGAGGAAGCAAAGGTGCACGCGCCCTTGGAGCATCAGATCGATCAACCGCGCCTTCAACGACATGCGTAACTTGGAGGCCAAGCTCGGCAAGAGCCTCACCGTCTTCGAGCGCATGGAGGCCGAGTTGCGAGTCCAACATGAGCGAGTGGCAAAACTTTTCTAAGGAGCTGGAGCGGGCAGAAGAGAAGCGTTTCTCGTCCAGCAGCTCCACGTTTCTACGTGGTTTAAGCCGCCAAATTCACCCCGCCCTGCCTTCAGCATCGACGACCTGCTTAATGGAGAACGCCTGCCCATCTGCTTGGACAGCCTGCTCGCCGTCGAGTCGGAATACGAGTTCTCCGCTGAGGACCAGGAAGAGGCGCAGAAGCGACTTGACGAGATGCAAGAAGGTGTCAAGGCTGCGGTGCAACATCTCTTCGGCGGAGCGGCGGCGAAGTCCAAGGCGTTCCGTGACGTCCAGGCCGAGCAGCCCAAACGCCTTCAAGCCAAACGTCGTCGCGTGGATGGAGACGCAGGAGTGGAGCCAGACGAGGGCACGCTTGGGGAGGCATCAGGTTCCGACGCTGGTGCGCCCAGTGGTGATGACGCAACCGGTGGTGGCGCCGCCGCGGCCAGCTCTACTGCGGGCGCGCCAGCTGCTGCACCCTCGTCTACTCCGTCGGCTGGTGCGCCTGGCGAACCCACGCCCACGGCTACGTGCACTGACGATGTGCGTGCTCGTGCCCGCCGATTCTTACATGCTCCCCCCCCGTTGGCGCCGCTGACTGAGCGGGGGATTCACGGATATGTTCGGCCTCTTGCGGGAGGTCCTCTACAGCACCTACGTCGTGGAATTGCACTCGCTGGTGGAAGTGCAGACTCGTCCTCTCCAACGGGGTCCTCGTCTACGATCGGGGCTCTGTCGAGTTCGAACTGCCCTCTTCTGAGCGCTGAGCCTGCAGCTGGCACTGCAGTCTCGACTTGTTTGCGCTCCTCCTCCTCCCCAGCTGTTTCTGCACGTGGCATCGAAAAACGTAGTCAGTACGCTGGGGGCGTCGCGCGTGCTGTTGTGTCGCCGTGGGGTTCCACGCGACCGCCTGTGTCCGCGCTGCCTCCCTGCTTTCACTGATCGGCTCGCCTGCCGTGGATATCCCAAGCTGACGCCATTCCCGACCAATCTCGGCCCCGCGTGGCGAGTCCCATCTCTAAAACTGCGAAACTCACTGGCCAGGGGCAAGTCGTGCGTGGCGCGTGTAGCCAACAATCCATAAGCGTTAGCTTCCGTTCCCTTCCCTCCTCATTGTCATTGGCGAGGCACCAAAGCTTCGAGGCCGCTCCCGGCCCCAACACATAGGCAGGCGCAGCGGCGCCGCTGAAACAAGAACAGAAAAAGAAAAGGGTGGGCGGGCGGGACAAGCGGTCCCACCCTTGAGCCCCAAACAGCGGCAGGCAGCCGGCGCGCGCGCAAGAGACACGAGGAGGGGCAGCGGGGAATCTAACATTGTTTCACATACGTGAATCCGAGTTTAGAGCTCCGCGGGCCTCTCATGCCTGGCGTTCCTCCCAGGCCCCACGAGCACCCGCGTGGGCCCGTGGAGGCCGACGCGTTCCCGCTGAACCAGCTCGCATCCGTGACTGCGACTTGCGACGCGCCGGGCTGGGGTTCGGGGCAGCTCTGGCTGCAGCAGGCTGTGGCCGACATGGCGGCCATGCAGGAACGCAAAA